TATACATACATACATATATATATATATATATATATATATATATATCTCAAGACAGATCAGACTGAGCCCCGTCAAAACTGATTACAGATGGCTAAAGCCGACAGGGCGATTCTTTTACACTTTCCCATGCCACCAAAAGTCTGTCAGCTTCAATTTATGTTGTTTCGACTTAATTACAAGTTGGAGGCTCAGTTTTAATAAAATTACCAAGTGCAAACATCGTTTTTTTTTCTCAGCAACGAATGACCGACTTTATATAAGTAAGCAAAAAATATTGCACGTTTTAAAGAAAAAAGAGAAGTAATTGTCACCTTGTATCCGACTCCTGGAGGTGCCTTACACGCAGAAAAAAACTACGGAAACCCATAAAAGACAAACTAGGCTCTGTCAAGGCTAGGCCACAGCGCCATCTGTTGGCAGACCGTTACCAGGCGGACTAAGGCAGAACCCTCAGAAAACTGAAATTGGCTTCGACATTTGTTATGACCATTATAATACCCCAGGCTCGTGCCTCATGACGTCTGGTTAAGGCACAAGGTTAGACCAGGGTAACCGTTTACAGAAGGGATGGAGGAATTGAATGTAACTCACAGATTCACAAAATAGGCACGTGTACAATTTCTACACCAAATTGTCTAGAATTAAGTCGGAATGTAGCTATTGCTATATTTTGGCCTGTTCTGGTAAAATATATCTAAGAATAAATAACATCAAACCATTAAGGGGTATAATAACTCTGGAATTCAGAAGCCACATACAGAACTATGCAAAAGTTTTACGCAGCCAAAGAAAATGATGTTTAAATGATCTTTGTGTTTGTGTAAAACTATGTTACTATGCCTGTTAAAGTGTGTTAGCTTAGCCATTTCAAAATCTCTGCTAAAATCACCGCATTATTTCCAGCAACCATCCAATACACCCATATATTTTTGATTCAACCACTAGCACAGTCTCTGACATTTTTAACTAATGAAACTAATTATTTAAGTGAGCTGGTGGTGAAATCTAATAAATAAATGGAATGTCTGAGGTGCCCCTGAGGAGAGGTTTGCAAACTGAAGCGGTGTTCATCTAGCCATCCAACTAGATATCATTAACTTTTTGGAGAACAGAAGAAATTCTTGGTAGTTTTATCATGTTACTCTTAATTTGCATATATTCTAATGCTAAATTGTGTTTTTTGTTCTATGCAGAAGTCCACTTACTACCCAGATAGACAGCTTTAAACATTTCTTTTGACTGCATAAGATTTTGCACAGTACCCTATGTACTGTTCTACAGGCGTACATTCATTGGACAAGAAAAAAGAATGTGTGTGTGTGGGAAGGTCAGGAGCTGGCTGCTTAGTTGCATTTTCATTTACTGAAGTTTTAATCAACCAGTTGTGGGACAATATCAGAGCCCTTGAGCCATCACCCTCCCAGCCCTGGACTGAGCTCTCTGCTCTGGGCTTACGTGCAACCTAGAAAAAAAATATCACTATTGTGTTGGTATTTCAAAACAATATATTTCAGAGACATTTAGGATCAAATGTGTTTCCAGTCTAACCGCAATATCCAACGGATACCATGTCAATTCTCTTACAATTAGTCAGGGGAATGGGCATCGTTAGACCTATGTCACTGGGGCATGTGACCCAGTATTTATATGCTTTGTCCAAGAAAAATCTCAAGTTCAGCTTTCAAAAATCATGAGTAATGGGGGGCCGTGGTTCTGCGCCCCAGTAGAGCTTTATGTTTACCAACGCCCCTGGTCACGTGCACTACTAGAAACTGGCCCCCTAACAAATTTCACCGTGGGCCCACTGCAGGGGGTCCTCAATAAATGACATGTTGATATAGTTGGAGAGGCAACATAAATGAGGTTTAAAAGGACTTATTTTTACCAGCCTGACAAAAAAGCTGCCTTTAAGGTGTAACTATTGTCAGAAGCAATGTCTAGATGAAACCTGTAACACCTATGTGCCCCCAAAGGTTAATGGTTATGAAATACTTCGAGGGCCTTCTGTGCCCTTAAATCGTCGGTGAGATGCCTAAGTAGCCACTGTGCTTTCATCCTTCAGCCCAGCTTTCCAGGCTAAGGAAGCGCAGACGCGTTCGAAACGGCATCCCCGAAGCCGCCTGGTCTGCAGGGCTTCTAGCTTCTTCCGCATTTTCCAGCGGCTTTCCAGCTGTGACGTGGGGGGCTATCGGGGCCTCGGAGTCGGCCGGGGGCCGCGGCGTGTCCGCTCAGGCTCGGCCCCTCCCTCCCTGCGCTCCGGCGGCCCGCCCCGCCAACTCAAACCCCGATTACGCTCTGCCCGGATTGGGCAGCTATAGCGGCCTTTATAGGAGCTTTTCAAAGTGACGGTTCGCTTGTAAAGACGGCTGGTAAGTTGTTTTTCGGGGAATTTGTGTATCGCTACAGATTAGGTATCCTCCACACATCAGCGCGCCCCGTATTTCAGGGGTGGCTTGTGGGTGTCACTGCTTGGCCTCTATATGGGGAGGCCGCAGAGGCCTCGGGACACGGTGACGGATGTGCGCGTCAGGGAGCCGGCTTTTCGCGTTCATTTGGAAAGGAGCGACGGTGCTGAATCGCGCCGTAGAGGCCACGCTTGAACCCTGTGCCTTAAAAGGTCCGGCGGAGAGGCTTCGCTAGTGCTGCAGCTGGAGGTGCTAGCTAGCCGCCATGTCCGCAGTAAGTGCGCCGGAAATGGTGCCGTGCGGGGCGTCTCTACAGCGGGCTCTCCGCGGAAAGCACCCCGCTCCCCCGGAACCAGATGCCTCAATAACGGCAGGCTTTCACAGCTAACCAGGGTTCGTTGTACGCTCACCAAAAACGTAGTCTTATGGAATTACTATATAAAAGTATTTAGATGTGAAAATATACAGTTAACTGTTGTACTGTGCTAATAAATTAAGTACCACGGAATATTTTGCGTACATCTGTAAATTGATACTAAACGAATATTACAACAAAAACAACGTTATATCGTTAACTGTACGCATAAATTTATTTCAGAAGTATCTCATAGGCAGTGCATGCTTGTTTTTTCCTCCCATGCACTGTGTGTGTTGTGGTTGGCACGTTGTGTTTTTTAGTATTCAGAGGGATCATTAAACGGGTCTGATGTTATGTTTTATGCAGTAAGACCGTGACAGATGAGTTGTAATGGATGAAGATGTAACAGAACTGGTTCTGCATTCAGAGGAGCCACAGATCATACTCCATGGATCTGGTAATTACCTGCAGTGAATTGCACCCTGTTTGTTTTGCAGCCCCAGTGCATACCGCCTGTTTCTGTTTTTTTTGCAATCACCCTACTACTCACACAGGCTGTTCTGTACTGCTTTTTACATGTTGGCTCTATAAATGACTGTCAGCATGTGCCTGCCAGGTGAGGCTGGAGACCCTGAAGAGGAGATTGTGACCCGGCTGCTGGAGGTGCGGGAGGAGAAAGAGCAGATAGTGATCCAGGACAGTGTTCAGGGCACCATGTCTGAGTATGTGCAGGATGTCACCATGGAGACCTGTGTGATGTCCCTGGAGGATGAGCTGCAGGATGACACGGCCTCGGAGGGGGTTCTTGTGGCGGGGGGCGATGGGCAGGACACCTGTGAGGACTACCTCATGATTTCATGTAAGTAGCTGTCATCACCTCTGCTGGTGGGTGGAGCAGCCGTTACACAGGCTCCGTCCATATGCACTTTGATGAGGGCTGTTTATCAGTATGCGTACTTGACCGTACTTGTGTTCTCGTGTACCCGTTTGACGTCACCTTCCATTGCCAAAGTACAGTTCCAATACTCAAGAACAGAAGTACAGAGGATGGTAAAAATCACAGGATGTCGTTCTTGCCCTGTCCCCAGATATAAAGCATGCATCAGTTGCATCCTTCCCAACGAGATCTATCCCTTGATTCATTGTGTCCCAAGTCCTTTCTTGGGAGGCAAGTTAGCAAGGCCGCTCTTGCCGGCAACACAAGTATGTTCTTTGGGTTCTTGGTATTGATAACTGGCCACACACTCCGCCTTGATCTCCTCCAGTGGACGACACGGATAAGATGGTGCATGGAAACAGCACAGAGGTCACCGTGGGGGACCGACAGAAGGAGAACGAGGGAGAGGAGGTCATTAAGGTCTACATTTTCAAGGCTGACTCCGGGAATCATGACCCAGGTGAGAAGCTTCTAGCATGGAGTTTCTGTTCTCTCCTGAGGTTCCCTTCCTTTAAAGCAGCCCTTTTTTGCACATATTACTGCATTTTGTATATTTAAAGACACCTACAGGTATTTATTAAGTAGTCAGTAATTGCTTACTTACTATTTGTGCTGTTAGTGTATGTTCTGTATGTTCTTAATATGCCACAGCAAATCAACCAGAAAAATATATATATGAAGTATGTGGCACATGAAGATGGTAATTGCAACCTTTTAAATTTTAAGGAGGGGAAAAATGAAATTTAAATTCCTCTCACTCTAATTTGCTGATTAATACAAACTCATTTAAATTGAGGTTAAATGGAGGTGCGTCTCTCTTAACTGTAAATGAAAAATTTAGTACAACCACGTTCAAATCATTTGATTGATTGACTGATTTGGAACAGAAACAGAAGTGTGGACAGGGGCGTAGGAACTGGGGGGGGTGTAACCTCCAATATTTAATTTGCCTTCATTTGCCTCCTGTATTAACAGACCTTCGTATTTAAATTATTAAGTCGTACCTCCCCTAATATCACACTCTGTCCGACACCATTGAGTGTGGCGAGAAGCAGGCAGCCACCTGGAGCTGTGCCTGTGTGACATCTGTGTGTGACCCTGCTCACGCTGAGAGTACAACAGCACATTTGTCATAGTGGGTCCTTTTAGCATAATGTAAACAGGATGTCAAGAACTACACAACAGCACATTCGAAAATGTTTTGGAAGTGCAATAGGTTTGCCGTGGATAGAAATTACTGGGAGAACATTTTTAACTGGATTTGAGAAAGCTCCTCTTTACACAGCATGTAGTTAGAGTATGGAGTAGTCTTCCTGCTAGTGTAGTGCAAGCTAAAACCCAGAGTTCCTTTAAATCGGAGCTAGATAAGATTCTAACAACTTCGAATTTGAATTTGAATTTGGTGAATTTGGTGATCAGTGGTCATTGTTCAAGCTATTAGCTGAGTTCTCCCCAAGCGAGCTGGATGGGCCGAATGGCCTCCTCTCGTTTGTGAACTTCCCATGTTCTTCTGTAAGGCCTGTGTGTGCGTGGGATGTGTAACAGGTGCAGAGAAGGTAGCAGATGAGGTGTACATGGAGGTGATGGTGGGGGGTGGCGAGCCAGTCTCTCACGAACAGCCTTGCGTAGAACCTGCCCCCACTAGCTCCGCCCCCAACAGCCCCCCATTCAACAAGGACCTGGCGCCTATGAGTTGGGCTGCTCCGTACGGTACGTGCTAAACTATCTTTGCTTCCCGGTATTTCACAGCGTGGAGTGCGTTTAGAGTGCTTGAGTGTTTGTGTGTGTGTGTGTGTGTGCAGGTGGTGTCCACAAAGCGGATTCCAGTGCGAGCAGAAACGGCGTGGCCGGTACTCGGCCACACGGGGATGTGGGAGGCGGGGCCATGGGCGTGACCAAGGCTGGCCGGCAGGGTGGCGGCAGTACCAGGAGGCGTGCAGAGCCCTGGCAGGTCCAGACAGGTACAGAATGTAGCAGAACTTGACATTAATGCTGTTCTTTCATTTTCACGTGAGTAAACCAAATGTATCCCATAGTTCAGTCTCACGGAGAGTAACACATGTTCCTCCTGCTCTCCCCAGCTGTCATCATGGGCCCCTATGGTCAGCCAATCACTGTCTACCCCTGCATGCTTTGTGGCAAGAAGTTCAAATCCCGGGGATTTCTGAAACGCCATATACTGAACTGGCACCAGGACGTACTGAACCGTAAGAAGTACCAGTGCCCGGACTGTGAGTTCAGTACCAATAAGAAGGCCAGCCTGCACAGCCACATGGAGGTGCATGCGCCGGTCAGCAAGGCGCCGCTGGCCTGTGATGAGTGCGGCAGGGAGTTCCACCAGCAGGCGGCGCTCTATGCGCACAGGCTACAGCATCATGACCCCAAGCCCCAGGTGACAGCAAGCCCTGCACCCAAGATGCATAAGTGTAAATTCTGTGACTACGAGACAGCTGAGCAGGGCTCTCTGGACCGCCACCTGCTGGCTATGCATAGCAAGAGCTTCCCCCACATCTGCGTAGAGTGTGGCAGCTGCTTCCAGCTCCCTGCGGAGCTGAAGGAACACATGCTGACCCACACGGTGCAGAAGGTCTACTCCTGCAACTATGAGACGACGGACTCGTCTGAACTGAAGACAGATGTGCAGATGACGCAGGAAGAAGAGACATCTTACCAGTGCGAGCGCTGTCCGCTGGCATTCCCTGAGCATGAGGAGCTGTTGCGGCACGCGCAGTCACATGAGGAACCGCGCACCCACCAGTGTGCCCACTGCGAGCACCGCAGCTCCAACTCCAGTGACCTCAAGCGGCACGTCATCTCGGTGCACACCAAGGACTACCCGCACAAGTGTGCCATCTGCGCCAAGGGCTTCCACCGGCCGTCGGAGCTGAAGAAGCATGCGGCGGCGCACCGCGCCAAGAAGCCCCACCAGTGCCGGCACTGCAGCTTCCGGGCCGCTGATCCCTTCCTGCTCAGCCGCCACATTCTGTCGGTGCACACCAAGGAGGCGCCGGCCATCCCCGAAAAGCGTGGCCGCAGGACAGGCGGGGGGGCGGTGATGCCGGCCGGTCCCGGGGTTAAGAAGGGTGGCACCAAGGCCCCGCGGGAACGCCGCGTCTACCAGTGCCAGTATTGCGACTACAGCACCGGAGATGCCTCGGGCTTCAAGCGGCATGTCATCTCCATCCACACCAAGGACTACCCCCACCGCTGCCAGGTTTGCGGCAAGGGCTTCCGGCGGCCTTCCGAGAAGAACCAGCATATCATGCGGCACCACAAGGAGCTGGCACCAGCGCCGTGAGCTGAGGGCAGGGTGTGAGGGCGGGGCCTCTCTCTGTGTGGCGAGCTGAGGGCGGGGCTTCCCTGTGCACGGCAACCTGAGGGCGGGGCTTCCCTGTGCACGGCAACCTGAGGGCGGGGCTTTCCTGTGCACGGCAACCTGAGGGCGGGGCCTCCCTGTGCGCGGCAACCTGAGGGCGGGGCCTCCCTGTGCGCGGCAACCTGAGGGCGGGGCCTCCCTGTGCACGACAACCTGAGGGCGGGGCCTCCCTGTGCGTGGTAACCTGAGGGCGGGGCCTCCCTGTGCACCGGACTGCACTCTCATCCTGCTCAATGTCTGACTCTATTTCTCCTGTGAGTTTGTATCATTTGTTGGACCAGTGGCTTCAGAGGATGTGCTCTATACCATCTATGCTCCATCGGATTCCTCGAGGGCCCCTAGCTATTCCAAATTTGTTATATTTCTACTAATTATTACATCTTTAATCTTCCAACCAATAATTAGCAGTATTAGCTAATCAGATTGCTTAGCGGTAGAATAGAACAAATATATGGAATTCCTTGGGGTACTCCGGGAGGTATTTGGGAACCACTGTCAGAGAAGTGTTTTTGTGTCTGCTGCCTCCTGCTGTTGGTAGTAAACACTGCAGGATGAGCTAGGGTCTGTACTCAGTGTCTTGAAACTGTGAGTTCATGGGTGGTCGTTCACATTTTTGAGGTGGTCCATAAGAATAGTTGTTAGAAATGTTTCTTAATGAAGTAAATGTAAAAATCTAACTCGAAAATGAAATTCAATAAAGCTGCACTTATGGACACACTTCAGGCAGCAAGTTGTGTGAATTTAATGGAGATCCAGTGAAAGCCTTTTATGCCATATTTTGTGTTATGCCTGTAGATTGATGTGTGTAACTGAGGAAGCTGTGTGTCTGTGTGTGCAGAGAGCCATCAAGGCACCTCCCAGCTTCTTCAGACCTTCTGTGGGACAGAGTGGGACTCACTGTGCCATGTGCAGATGCTGTGCGTGCTGATGTCATTAATGCTGTAGTGGTGGCCGACAGCCTGGGCTGTCTCTGGTGTCGTTCACAGACAGAGAGATGTCACTAACTTAGATCTGGACGTTCATTTTTGTGTACGGCCTTGTCCTATAAACCCTGGGCCTGCGTAATTCCAAATTTAATCATGGAAGTTCTGTTTAACTAGAATTGTATTATATCTAAATTATTTTGTATTGGAACCAACACCTCTGTAAATTTCTGTTAAGGAAAAAATGTTTTTTTGTAATTGGTATGAAAATTAAATAAATGGCAGTATTTTCATTGAGGGATTTTAAAATGTGTGTGCATGTGTGAGAGAGCATGTCTCTTGTGTATTCTGTAGTATAGACGTGTCTGTCTGGTTTTTGTGCTGTGTGTGAGCTACATATAACATCCACTAGCCTAACAGAACTCTGCAACCTAAGAAGCTTGTGGAAATGTTGCTAAAGTTGCAGAAGCGGTTTTCTCATTTTTATGCAGAAATGAAGCTTTATTTGCCATTAGTACATGTATGATAACAGGCCCATTGGAATGTTAGTTCTCACATATCATGCTTTCCTTTGAGGGATAAGCGTAGAGGCTGAGTCCGAATTAAAGGGCTTCATCCGAAGACTGAATGCGTCACAGCGGCGCAACAAGGCTGTCCCATTTCGAAGGGTCCTTCCAAATGCAGCCTAGCAACGCGTTATTCTTTTGCCAAGATCCCAAGATTCATTGCGCGAACCTTTGAAGGACACAGCCTACAAAAGGCCACATCCTTCAAAGGATGCAGCCCCTGAATTCAGACACAGCTGCACATACAGAGGTGAGGGTAAAGCTTCCTTCAGCAGCTCTGGAGCATTTTTCAGGGGGTTAAAGGTCTTACTCTAGGGTGTGATGAGGATGTGGCTATTCTGGTGGGCAAGGGATTCAAACCAGCGATCTTCTGATCTTCTCACAGAGGCCTAACCTGTTGAGCCACACATCACCTTTGGCAATTTTGCCTGCTGGATCTCCAGTCACAGTTGAAGATGATGTGAATTGGCGCTGCTCTTCAGTTGCACTTTTAGAACCTGATACAAGCCAAAATGAGCAGAGGCATCTCGCTGGTTGTTAATACAATTTCTCGGGTGTGAAGTTGGACATGTTGCATAGCTTAAGGGCTTCTTACCTGTTGCTGATCACTGGTGACTCCCTGCTGGAGCAAAAGAGACATTTAATGCCAGTAGCAGTGAAGTGAGTCAATTTCAGTTTAAGTGGTTTGGGTGCATGCGGGATCCAAATATTCAGTTTATAGAAACCAAGAAACGCATGATTCTATACTAACCTATCCTGCACATGCCATTTGCGATGCCTTTACCTGTTGAAAATGGACAATATTGAGAAATTCTTGAATTTATATACATTCAGGTCACACAAAACACTCAACAGTGAGAATTAGAGAGGTGACCTACCTACATCCACCACTTTGTGAAGCCAGTTCAACACTAATCAACAAAAAAACTATGATCAGGCATACATGTAAAAATAATGCTGCATAATTACACCCATAGTGAAAATCTCACCTTGGCTTGACACTAGAATTACAACCATTGAATGGAAATTTTGAAAGTAAAAATGAAATGCAGTATTGTTATTCAGTGAAGTGATTACTTACGCCGTAAATGTTGGTCAACAATGGTTTCCTCTGCTACTTTAGCTAAAAGGAGAAACAGAACTTGGATGCTGAGAGAGTAATTTGTGGACTGATCTACGTTAGGAGGCGAGACCTTCACTACTCACCTAAATCTCGGATGCCATCAGTTTTTTTCGAGGGGCTTAGAATTCCTTTCGGATCTGTAACAAAAACATTCAAGCTTCATATTGTGGCTCCACAATGACATTCAATTCTTCACTTTATACTTCTGTGCAAACCCTTCACTGAGACTCAACTGCAGTTCAGAAGAAGCCACTAACCAAGAATATGAACCTGTAACAGGATTTGATACTTCTTAGATCATTACTTTAACAGTGCTGTTACCACTTGATACACAGACTGATGGCCACACCTTGAGAAAACTATTTGTATCCTGGCAGTATTAGAGCTCCAAAAAAAGCAAGAAATGTGTCATCACGGTATCGAGGCGTGACTTAAATACAATTTAAATGAAAGGAGCAGAAAAACACAAACCGAGAGCTTTCCTGAGAGTCTGTAGTTCATTCGGGTTCTTAGTCTTTGTCTTGCTTCCTTTGCGTTTCCCACCTGAGAGAAAAAGGAGCTTCTGTCAAGCGTGCGATCGCAGCTCCTCACTGTATTTGCGACACGGGCTGAGTTTCCCACCTGAGACGCTGAGGAGGGGCACCAGCAGGAGCAGCAGCAGCAGTGACACACGCATGGCGAGGAGCCCAGAGGTCCCCGCACAGACACCCCCAGCCCCTTTATATGCCTCTTTCTGCTCGGGCCATAATCCCACTGCTGCTGACAAGCGGCTTCTACTCTGCCATCAGGGCGGCGCCAGTCTGCCTCCCCCAGCAGCAGCGGCAGGTCAGCACTCGGTATCTGAGACCTGCAGCTCTGCCCCGAAGATGCCACACCTGAAAAGCAGGGCCGATCTCACATTCCCAATCATTTTTTATTCAGCTTTTCAGAACCAAAAATGAGATGTTTAATTCTGAAACCACAATGGTGACCTCATCCTCATGGTCTGTTGGGTGTGACTGTCTGCTTTCCATGGGGGTCGGAGGAACGCAGGGTAATGGCAGGGTAAGTGATGGGCAATAACCATCTGTAAAGGTACCATTAAAGGATCTGCCATTAAACGAGGTGAGGCGGAGTGCCTGGAAACTAACGTACCACATTCGATGCTTGAAATTTCTGTGTGACATCATCAATTTAATAATGACTGTGATAGCGGCCAAGTCTGCAAATAAATGTTGTGTATTACAGCCCGACACTTGCAGACTGCACGTTTTGTCCAATGAGCATTTATACAGATGCGCAGGATTTCAGATCCACTCATATTCACCCTTCGGAGACGTGCTGCTTTTCCTGGCTTCTTCTCCATTGGTCATTTCTCACAAACTTGATGTTTCTACATCTTTACAGCATGATAATGAGGCTGTGAGACTCCAGTGGACAAAAAATTCCATATTATTTGAGTAATTACTACTTTATTTTATATAACCGATTTTGGGACTTCTGTACAGCTTGCAAAATTGTGATTGATTGCAACGGAGCTAATATCCATTTCATGGAGTTTGTTTCAAAATGAATATTTGCAGAGATGCACTTTTTTTACTGTTTTAACCAAAGTATTACAAATGCCCAATCAGCAATAGGCCTTATTAACTCTTTGGTTCCAGGAGTGCATATCATCTAATGGTGCTCCATATGAACTGGGAAGTCAGAATTTCAATTAGGCCGCCCTCTGAAGTCAGAGTTCCGCCTTGGAATGTTTGAGGAACCTCTGCAACCTGACCTCAGAATTCAAGACGTGAAAGCAGTTATATACTTGTCATTAGGACTTAGGTCTCAATTTTTACTTTACAATTCCTAAGTGACAATATAAATTGAGAGGTGAGGTTTGTTGTTGTGAGATGATTGATTTTAATAAGAAGTCAGTTGGATTTTACACCCTGTTTAAGGGGAAGCATTTAGCCAGGTGAGAGAGGTGAGGAGGGGGGTGAAGTGCAGTACAGAGGCTTATTTGATTGATTTATAAATATGTTTCCCCTTTAGTTTTGTTTAGCTGAGTTTGTGTTGCTGTTTTATTGGTATTTAGTTTGATTTTGTCTGTACTTCTATTGTCACAGAATTTGGGAATAAAAACCCCTGGGATCAGAGTCTTCTGGGGATTTCCGCTTTCACAGCGCCGCTCAGCTGTCATTCATAACGTCATTCACATGAAATGAACACCACTGTGGTCATATACTGCTTTATTAGGTTGTCTGTAGTTTATCACACCAGAAATGAAAATAACAAATGATGCAGAAAATTCAGGTAACGCTTTAATTAAAACAGATTCAAAGATGCACAGTAAAAAAGGTGAACTTCTTCCCCAAAACTTGCAAATATAAATTTTACAGCATATAACTTTCTGTGTTGTGATATTTATGGGAATATGCCTCCACATAGACAAGTTTCACCCAGTAATACCTGCAGGTAATTTGATGATCTGCTTTAGATAAAAAATATATTATATGAACACTGGACACCAGACTTTGTTCAGGGGTAATTTATTAAGGATTAAGCACTTGCTGGGTGTTCATAAGGAATTCTGGTCAGTCAAAGTATGCAAGTTGGTCTTGGTCAGTCTTCTCTGTTTGCAGGCTATGCAGTTGAAGCTTGCTGCCAGCATGGGGCAGTGTTTCATAAATACGCAAGTGTATGTAGTCATTGTTCCCCACAAACACCTATTAAGAAAAGAACATGAGTACTGCAGAGACACACACACACATTTTGTACATGCATGCATGCATTTGCATAAGTAATCATACATACCTTAATGAAATAGTTTGTTCCTGCCACCACTTGGGTTGTGAATGTCTTTGCAGTAAAAACGTCAAATGTTTTCCCAGCTTTTTCCTCTACATTTGGCTTCAGCTAGGAGATCAAAACCAGCTCGGTTAGATACCTGTATGTTTGCCAGACCGTAACTAAATGACAGCTAGAAGGCAGACTCTAAACTGAATGTGATAACCAGTCAAGTAAAGGATCTTCCTTCATATTAGAGGTGGGCGATAAATCGATTTTCGAATTTACAGTTCAGGACGATGTGTTTTTATGAAAATCGATTTTATTACTGTACTTATTTTACACGCGAGCGCCAAAAGCGGAACTAATCCGACGCACCGTTCTTCACGAGTAAATTAGCGCGGCGCACCCAAACGCTGTAGCGGATTCACAAAAAACATGGCAATTAAATGGTTCTGCTTTGCACCGTCGTGGTCGATTTTCTCAAGGAAAACTTAAAGAGGCACACGTTCGACAGACTGGTACCTACCTCATCGCAGATCTGCTGCACTTTGGCCGTGGCGTCCTGAACATTGCCAAGTCCTCCACAAAGCATGGTGACTACAAAGCAAAGAGCTGATCTAAAATCCAACTGAGAAGTAACTCACTGAGACAACCTGCACAGCTGGTCATGCGATCTCTTCCCTGTTTGAGTGTCACATGACACCCCACAAATCTGGGCGCGTGCACTTCCTCTAATGAACGTCACATGACTGCCGTTGTGGCTTGTACCAAATTTGATCAGGCACAATATTAATATATTACGTCTCACGTGTTTATGCATTCACCGTTGGTTTATTAAATAAAACGTTCATTCAGTAATGATACAAATGTATGCTTAGTAGCATTTATGGCCTCTTCAACCTTTTCCTCGTGCAGTTTGAGCTTCCGGGTCGGTAAAACGTTTGGAAAACAAATCGATGGCGGAATGTTGGCGGATACTTTCACTCTCATGCTCACGCAAGAAATTTTGCAATATAATATGCAAGAAACACGGCAAATATATATTATTCCATTATAAACCTGAAATTAGCTACATCAAAAGCGTTACATACTGTTTACAAGGTAATTAAAGTGTTACATGTAAAAGCGTGTGCAGACTTGTCCCGAATTGAAATCTCACGCCACCCTTCACTGGCGACCACACGAAATCTAACTCGTTATTTACAGAGTTTTTCGGTGTCGCCGATAATATGAAGCAAATTGAATGTACCTGGCAATCCCTCAACACCGAAAATGTCGAAAAGTCTGCTTGACTGAATGCGCTCCACCAACTAATGTATGTCTGACTGCTGTAATATCACCGGCCAGGACTAAATACAAACGTTACGGCCATCTGAATTCACGTTTGCCTACCTTGGAGAAGGATTATTGTGCATGAAACGTTACCACGACAGCATAACACAAAAAAACACGTGGGGTGTTTCTCAATACTAATATAAAGACCGTACTTATTAAGACCGATCTTGTTAACTTGCCTCCCGATGAAAAAAAAATGTTTTTGGTGCAGATGGGATATTGGTCTCGTTTGGCGGCGACGTTACTAATGTAGCCTTGATATTTGGGACGGGGCAAAAACGACACCTGGAGATTTCTTCTTCTTCTTCTTGAGTATTGGAATTGGTCTTCGGCAACGGAAGATTATGTAAAACGGGTACACGAAAACACAAGTACGGTAAAGTGCGCATAATGAGAAATGTCCCAGTTTGCTTCAGCGATGTACTCCATCGTAAAATCCAGATAAACTTACAAGAGTACCTTATTTTACAAACTTAATTTATTTTATAAACAGAACAGAAACCTTTTAAAAAGTAGCAAAACACTGTTGTTGTACGAAATGTTTTAGCCAAAGTATGTGAGTACACGAATGTACGTGTGTATGCTTTATACAGTGCATTTCAAAACCCTCAATAAAAAGAGAGTAGGCATAAATTAGTGTGTGTGTGTGAAGGAAGGAAGGAAAAAGTATGTTCATGATTAGGGGTTAAGGTTGTCATAGTTAGCATTAACATTTTCCCATAGAAATGAAAGAGAGGTCCCCACAAAAATATGGTAGAAGTCTCTCTCCCCCCGCCCCATGTGTGTATGTGTGTGTGTGTGTGTGTGCAGTAGATTTTTGAATGTGCTTCCCCTATTTGCTCGTAACATTGAAGTAATCATCACCATCACTGTGATTGCCATCTTCTTGGCCATTGTGAGAGGACTGGCTGGGGCTGGCCTTTGGGCTTGAAGAGGGACTGGCCGCTGTCTTCTTATAGAAAGAGTGATCAGAATGGATGACCACATGTACTGGATTCTGCACAGGCCTTCTTCGCCTCTGTGAAGAGACCAGTATCAGTGCATACCTGCAAAGGTCTCAGATGCCTCAGCCTATAGCTTCCTGTCTTTTATTTTCCTGGAACTATAATCTAATTCTGTGGTCTTCCATTCTGTATAATAGGCATTCTCAAAACTGCATAATTGGATTATTGGACATAGTCGGTAGTGCATTATGAACTCTTTTAGAAGACATTAAAATACTGTTGTAATGTTTTGTGAGCCTTTTCACACTCAAAGCATAGCTACATCTGGAGAGACGCAGCTTGGAGACATGTGGCAGAACTTAATTAGTGACCCAGATGTGGTCTAAACTCACATGCAGTCATACATGAACAAAAATATAAACAGAGACACAGACGAGAAGCTGAAGTTGGCTCACCCGATGAAATGTGACAAAAATGACCCCAACCAGGAGTGCAGTACACAGAACCCCGATAATAATGGGCACTGTCATCGTGGAGATGGCCGATTTCTGGTCTGAAACTAAAAGAGAGCACTTCAATATCAGGGCGTATGAATGTAGACGGAACTTCCGGGAGATGTAGTGGATACTCTTACCGTCAGGTGGGCGGATGAGTAGGTGTAGCCGATTCTCTATGGTCCCATGGGGGAAGGTAGTGAGGATGCAGCAATAGTCCCCACTGTCATTTACAGTTGTGTTTCCAATTGTAAACCCAGAAACGGTCACATCTGTGATGCGGCCCTGGTACAACGGTGCCACACTCAGCCCAAAACTACTGTGGAAAACCAGGACCTGAGGCTGTTTGCACCTGGACCATTCCACCTGCTCTATTGTTCCTTGCTCATCCATTTCACAGCTTAAGGTAGCTTTGGCTCCAGATTGGACGGTCACATTCCCAGGAGTGACTACTCTTATGGCTGTTGAGGCTAACATGAGGAAAATATGCACAAGATACAGAAATTGAAGTCCACATTAGCTAAATGAGAATATACAATTTAATTGGCCCTCTCAGTTTAAGTCCCACAATGAATTTGTCACTGGCTGTAGAAGAGGGGCAAAGAAATCTTTGAAGTATTATCTGCTAAGTTACACAACACATTTACTATTCACAGAGACATTTGTTCTCTATTGCAAGTGAAAATACAGTCTGTAATATGTTCACCAATCAGATACCTCTGCTCATTATTTTTTCACATGTTCCTTCTCCTGATAATAATCACAACAAGAACTGTTATTAACAAGTGTCTCTATCTATGTGCTGCGCACTCACTCCCACAGACAGACAGATTCTCATGATTATCTTTCACACACAAGTTCAAGGTTGGTCCAGTGGGACCTGCTCTTACCTGAAAACCAGTGTAGATACAGCAGGGCCATAGAGCCCTGCTTCCGAGATGCAACTCTGATGAAGAGATTGGCCATTTTGCTTTCGCGTACACTTCAGAAAGAGATGAGAAGTAAAATGCTTTCAACCTGAAGTTCCACAGGAAGTTCGGTATTACATACTTACGATCACTCTTAAAGGCACAGTGGCGGTAATACTATTGCACATACACCATATGGACAAAAGTATTGGCACGCACCACTTAATTATTGAATTCGGGTATTTCATTTAGACCCATTGTCAAAGATGTATAAAATCAAGTTATGTTGTGTATTTTGACCGGACCGTGCCTCCTTTAAGTATTCAAGAACCAGACAGAACCAGGCCATTCTAGACTAGTGAGCTGTAGCTTGATCATTTTGTCATGTACTTTGTCCTGATGTGTTATGTGTGACATATACTCCTGGGCAAAAAAACACCTGACAGCTTAATAAATCATCAGGCGACGGTCGCTTGGCTGAGACTGCAGAGGTATGATGGCAGAGTGCACAGATGGGTCCTACTCAACAAAGAAATGCTGATGGTTACTACGCAGGCCAGTGTCCTGCTTAGGACCCCTGTTCTGTAAGCTCAGCTTCCTGTCTGAGAAGCCACTCTGTAAATAAGCAGACTCTGACCTAATTTATGGCTTTGCAGAGCAGCGCATGATGCGCAGAGCCCAGGCTTTGGGCGTCACCTGTCTGAATGCAAACCAGAGCACGCACTGCCCAGCTGCCTGATGCAGTGCCTCCTCCATCTCTGTAGGTATTCAGTAAAATATAATGTATCTGCTGCAGCTTTACAAGTCATAACAATTTCCAAACGAAGTAGAGAATAAAATACACATTATAAATCAGGAAAGAATGGTATTTTCAGCACCATTGAATGGCACTCAGAAGTGAATTTCACTTTTATTTCTCGACAATATACCTTTAAGCTGATGTGTTATGGGTCTGCAGGTGCTGAGTCTAGTATTAAGTTGTTACATTGCACTGGAAAGCCTGCTGGAGGCGCAGTGGAACCCAGTGTGGCCAAGTGATGATGACTGATGACTGAAGCCTGGTATTATTATCCGAACAACCACATGCAGCTGCAACCTTGAGCTGGTGTATCACAAACTGATGGGTGTATCACAAACTGATGGGTGTATCACAAACTGAAGGGTGTATTACAAACTGCTGAAAAATGTTTTTCCAAGAAGGTTGATGGGCGCATCTCTGCAGAGGAAGACAGTCTGACAACCTTAGGAAGACAACCGTGTTACAATTACAATCTATCATACCTAATATAACAAATCAATATGAACAATTACAGCCCCTGATGTGAGTAACAGCCTCATTTCTTCCTCAGGGTTGCCAACTTTGGTCAGTTGGCTGGAGTGAGATTTTCAATTCGAGAAAAGTCTGCGCATACATTTACATGCATGTAACAGTTTTATTACCTTGTAAATACTCTGTAGGGTTTGGCAACTATGCTAAAGCTTTTGATGTAGCTAATTTTAGGTTTATAATGGAATAATATCGATTTGCCATAAGATTTCTAGCATGAGAGTCTGAAAGCGTGAGTGTGCATGAGAGTTAGCAACCCTGTTTCCTATTCGGCAAAACTGCTGACAAATTATTATAACTGCTTCTACGTGATGAGAGATCTTGTTGTTTTCAGGAACTTGTGGCTGGAGCTTCAGAATACTGGGGGAAGTCTATCACTGCGACCTTGTGATATATTCATTAATGCTTTTGCAGTCTTTTACCCTCTTGCACTCGGCCCACTGGCAGAAGACTGTTTAGCTGAACTTGACATCTTATGCGCAGCTACACGAGGTGGGTGGCATCTGTTTGGTGGGAATCTGGACGCGAGTCCATGGTCAGGAACTCGAGCCAGTTGCTCTGGAAGCCACGGGAATAGAGCCCCGTGTCCACGACAAGGCCGCACAGCTGGGTGCGACCCGCCTTCTTCTGCAGGGCCAGCTGTGCCTCCCGCTCCGTCACATTGCAGCTGATGTTGATTAGCTGTAGTACCAATAGGTGAAGCAATCCTCCTGTCACAACAGAACTGTACCAGACACATGTGAAGCACAGCGTCGTGCTGTGGACAAATGAGAAACTACAGTCACTGAAGCTGAAGGACATATTGGGATCATGTAGAGTAAGACTTTAGAGCAGGAGTCTGCCTATCTGTCTGTACTATTCTTAGACTTCAGGACAGTAGAAGAAGTGTGTGTGTTTACTCTGTCTCTACCTGTACTGGGCATACACTCCGGGGCAGTAGAAGAGTGCGTAAAGCAGGTTCTGATGTGGACACACACTACGCAGCACCAGGCTGATCCCATAAAGTGAGGTCAACAGGAAGAGAAGGAGCATCAGCTGGAAGCTGCGATGATTGGCCTGCCCCACACAACTGTTTATCCTGGTACGCAAGAATGAACATGACACATGGACAGATAAAGCACACTAGAGTCTCCTATATTTCACCTAACAACTATTTAAATCACCCATCAGTACCCGAAACACATCCAGACATGCAACAAGCAAACTTTCAGCAGGCCCACAAACACCATATAACTTCTTATTCCACAAAGCAGTACACAGATGATTTACGCCTCTTCTCCAAACTGACACATACGTACATGCTATTCAGCCCTGCACCACACAATGCCTCAGCTCACACCCCAAAATATACACACCAAACACCTTATACGGACATTAATGAGAAGGTCCAGATATACAGGCCATGCAAAATACCATTTCACCACGCAAACCAACAATCACATTGTGTCTACACATTTATTTGTGTGTGTTTTTGGTGTGTGCATAAGTATACCAATATGCATGCCTGATCGTCAACATCATTCAGCAACATCCAATCAATTTCCCACCAGACTGATCCAGCTGCTCATATCAGCTCCCCGTCCCACTAGATTCACTGGCTTTCTCATCAGCGCGTCCCATTGGCTGCTGCTCTGGCTTCCTGGACTTCGCACTCTGTATAAGTAGGATTGTTGCTGAGCCGCCTCCACCTCTGTACTGATACTGATAACGATTCAAAGGACGAACGACTGTGACATCATTGAGATATGTATGCACTCCCAGAAGGCCGAGCGATTTAATGGAACCCACCATATGCAGTGGTGATCCAGCCGGTAGACACAGGCACTGCAGATTCGGCAGTGTCCTGATCGGGGGAGGCACATTATCCTGCAGGTGGGGCACCATCTATTCCTCACAATGCCCCCCTGTGCCACGTCCAGCTGCTCTGCCGGCTGGCCTGGTGTTCTGGGACCGTCCGGCTCCCCTGCCTGAAGGTGGGTGCCGTTGGGCTGTCTGTGGTCTTGGCTGGACAGCCCTCCCTGGTAGGTCAGAATCCTGCGGATTGTGGCTGGGCGGGGCCTCACATAACCCGGTTCCCATTTGGTACCAGTACTGGCAGGGCTGTCAGCACCACAGACCCAACAGGAAATGCAGCGCTGCCACCCGTGAGAGTACAGGAAGTAGCACCAGGGGCGGAACCACAGAGAGATTTATCTGTACTGCCCCTGTCAGACGAGATATTTGGAACCGATCTGTCATTATGTCTGTCACTCAGGATGGCGAGCCTGATTTCTAAGACTCCAACTTTAGTTACCTGAAAGACAGGAGAAAGGAATGGAGGGAAGTGCAGAAAGAAGATGGATAGTGAGGATGTGGCAGCTGTGGTCGAGGCTGATCAGGGCCATAGCCCAGGGCCCCAAGTTGTAAGGGCCCCCCCCAAAAAATTCTGATTGTTACGACAGCATTGTATGCTGTAGATAGGGCCCCAACAATGACTTTACCCCAAGGCCCCCCAAGCCCTTAAATTCAACCCTGTGGCAGCATGAAACCATGGCGTACCTCACTGGACTTGGGCTGCACTGGTTCTTTGATCTGTCTCTCCCCTTTCTGTCATTACACACGCTGGACATTTTCCCCCCGTGGTCTTCAGGTTGTTTCCGCCTCAGGCCAGACGTTCACTGCAGGGCAGCAGGGGACGGCGTTCGTCGTGCTGATTGCACTGAGGTCTGTTTGGTTCTGGGCCTGCTGGTGCTTCTGCTGCACAGTATCATGGAGAGTCTGACACACCTGCAGCTCAGGAGCAGCCAACTAAGTGGCAGCACTCTGAGAGACCTGTCCGTAGCAGAATGATGGCGGGAGATTTCTGGTGGCTGTCGACATGCCAGTGAAGTGCTAAAGTATGAATATCTGGCAGCATCACAGCTGCTACAAAAGTAGAAGTGAAAGAGAGAGTTCCCCCCCCCCCCCCAAAGACCACGGTATTTCCGCTCATCTCGTAATGACTCACACGGTTAAGCCTGTTTATCAAAACTGAAAGGTAAGGTCTTTGTTTTTTTTCATGAGGAACTTCTATATTTTGAAGTGCTTCAGTAAAATTCTAGAAGACTATAAAGGGGCCAAGTTGCTATGTAATACAAATTAAGACACAGTGCCAAGGGGTAGAGAAGGTAAAAGAATGACTTTGGTCCCAGAGGCAGTGCACTATATTTAGGAGAGAAAGTATACTATGTATCCTAGCTGGCCAGTGGTTGTCTCACTACAAAGACGGACATGCAGCTCTCTGTCAGCTTGAAGCATCTGATTTGATGTGCTCTCTCAGTATAGTCAGCAGGAAAATATCACTGGAAGAGCCACCCATAGCCTGGGAACAGACAGAAGATATTTCTAAAGATATCACTGGAAGAGCTGCCGTAGCCTGGGAACAGACAGACGATATCTCTAAAGATATCACTGGAAGAGCCACCCATAGCCTGGGAACAGACAGAAGATATTTCTAAAGATATCACTGGAAGAGCTGCCGTAGCCTGGGAACAGACAGACGATATCTCTAAAGATATCACTGGAAGAGCCACCCATAGCCTGGGAACAGACAGAAGATATTTCTAAAGATATCACTGGAAGAGCTGCCGTAGCCTGGGAACAGACAGACGATATCTCTAAAGATATCACTGGAAGAGCCACCCATAGCCTGGGAACAGACAGAA